TGTTCCGTTTTTACCATTCCGGAAACAATAACGCCTTGCTGTTTCAGTCTATTCCCCAGTATCTTCTTTCCTCATATCGTAAAGCCTGTTTGTGGGATGTTTTATGTATTCCAACGCCTATTCCGTCCTCCTGCTTTCCTCTGGTCATCTACCCGTTGTTTATGTACAATTACTGGACTTGTGGCGTAGTGCATGCTTTGGTCCCCTTATTTTTATTGACCTTTAAAGTTACGTTGACTTTATGAGATTATTTTATCCCGTACTTTTCCCTTATTATTTCTCCTGGCAGTTTTGGATGATCACAAGATTGCAACATTATTTCATTCCTTTGAATAAAACAAGGACATGTTTATCAGGATGTTTTAATCAAGAACTAGTTGAAAAACTCTTGTTACCGTTAACGTCCTGCTAAGAGGCCAAATTCTAACGATATCATCTACTTCGGCCCATAACATGTTTTGTCTCAGCTACCGACTTTATTGTGGCTATGAATACGTTAGGCATCTGTGATATACTATAAATCCCAATAGCGATAGCGATTTTGTGGAGACAGCCTTGAAGAAATATTAACGCATAAACACCCCGAAAATGTTTGCTGCGAGATGGCAGCCGCCGATCTCCAAATCCTAGTCCGATAGTCTTCTCAGTGAGTTATTTTAGCTACGACTGTTAACTGTGCGAATTAGTCCACAATCCTTTTCAGACTCGGAATGTGAGCTCATTTTAGGTCCAAGCAGCTGGAATTGCAAGGCAAGACCTATGTGCAGAAGACGATCTCTGATGACAATAAGTCAGATTTTGTGGATTTCGGAAACTCGGGTGCCAGAAGGTGCTCGCAGCTCCCAGCTAGAATATAACAAGTGCCCGATGCACTATCAACCCCAAATTCCTTTCTTATGAAATTCCAGCAGAACAATACTCTCGGCTAACAGCAGCCCCGACTTGCGGGCCACAAAAAGTGGAATAATCATTTGCAAAAATCATAGGCATAACTCCTATCATTCAGTTGGCGAGGCAAACCAAAAAGATTTGGAGGATCGGTGGTTGGGTCCCAGGTTACGCGTCCAGGCTTTGTCAGGTGTGACTGGGGTTAGGTAAGATCACGGAAAACTAGTGTCTACAGGCCCGATTGTATGGTAGGAGGAAACAGAGGGGTTTTCGTTTGCCACGAACCTAGACTAGGACCCTCTCAAACGACCGCACAGGTAACTCAATACGCGAAGAATCCGGTGACCGCCGCTGGTTTCCAGGGCTTCATCGGCCAACCATACGCATTTATCCGGTCGCAAAAGTTTGTGGGAAGAACCCGCAGTTAGGCGGTTTTCAGTCAAACGTAACGGGTGCCATCAGAAGCATCCAGTCACAACTGTCTGCAGTTCTCGGATAGCACCCGACTACAGAAGAGGACATATGTCTGCTGCGCGGCATTGGCATTCAGGTGGCCCAACTCATCGAACCGTCTGTCATGCTGACTCTGATGCACGCGCACCAACTGCAGCTCATTCGTTTGACGGGGTGTGAACTATGCATAGTGTTCCTCGGCGCGTACAGCCAACCGTTCGCACTGCAGGGCTTTATATGATGTCCAGTCAACCACAGACACCCAACATGGCCAAACGACTCCATAGTTAGCGTAGGCGCTTTTTCACTCAAAATGTTCAGGCATTTGCCCCAGCGGGGCAGAGCGCGAGACTCGCGTGCAATTGTCGATCTGGCCCAACTGCACACTCACCATTTGTTCTGCACAGAGCAAAAGTCCTCTTCCGATGGGGTCAATATCCTACTTGGAATCTAGTTGGAGGTCCGTAATGGTTTGGGCTGGCACTGCCGGAGCCGCCTCTAGGCGTGCCGCCACATTCAAACGGGATCCCACGGAAAGCGAGTGCCATAAAAGCCACATTAAGAAGGAATCATTGCGGTCCGACTGTCAGACCACCAGTCCGTTATCTCACATAAACACGCACTGGGTTGACTGCGAGGTCAAAGATATCCCCATCAGTTGGCGATCCTCCAAGCCACGGCTTTTAGCGCAGTGTGATGGCTTCAAGTGCGTCAAATGGTTTATAGTGAGGAAAATGCGCTGAGTCGTCGACATCACTCTCCCTTCCCATTCTCAGGCACCAGTCATTGTCCGAAATGATCACTCGTCTGGTGCTGGGAATGGGCGAGGTGGCCGACATAACTTGTCTGCGCGCGCCACACGCACGACCTGGCCTTCAAACACAAGCACCAGCATTTCAAACAAAGGGGTTGGACGGCGTACCTTCATATGCATGAGATTGCCGTACATAGGTCGCGTTAAGAAGGAGCAATTTCAGCCTGTCTCTCAGCCCACCAGTCTGCCACTCCATACAAACACTCACGCAACTGGGCAGACTGCGTAGACTGAGTTTGGGAGTCAGAAGTCAGCCTTCCCAGCCACAGCGTTTGACGCACCGTGATACTCTCAGACTTGGATACACACATGCAGCAGAGGAGCCGAGAAGCACGCTTCCCACTGGCGTACGAGAGAGGAATTGGGTACTTGTGATGGGTAGTGGTGTTGTGTGGTGCGGGGTGTTGGTGGGGGAAGATGTAAATGCGTGGTGTGGCCAGCAGTTGTCTACCGCAGGTTTTCCTGAACGCGCAAGTGTTATAATAGGTCCATGCGATGAGTGAATGTGCGCGGCGAGTGTAGACAATGGAGGACGTCCGGGGAAAACAGAATTCCGTGATCAAGTTAGCTAAGTTTTCCCCATGTCTGTGTCGGTCGTTATCGGGTACATTTGAAGACTGAGAAGCGTCTGACAACCAGAAAATATTCGCGGCCCGCCTGCCTCAGCATGACGGTGGATTCCAGATCAGGTTCTTCGGAGGGAGGTCAGAGGGCAATGAAGAAAAATAAAAACGAACGCGCAACTCATGCAGTCAGATTTGCTAGGGTTAGTTCAGCTTCGGCTTTCTGTTCCCATTGTGAGATGGCAGCAACATTCTGCCAGATCAGCTCCCTCAAATAAGCCATGTGGAACTGTCAACCAAAGCCGAAATAATACGAAGGACGGCCAGTACGAGGTAATTACGCGAGGGCTGGGAAATGGTTAAGATTAGCCCACTAGTTCCCAAAAAGATAGGCAGATTTAGGCGGAGCGCGTGTATAATCAGCAGAGCCTGCCGGGGACATACTGTGGGGCCTCAAATAACCTACACGACTTTGGCTTGCGCCTGTAAGCAGTTTTGAATTATGCTAATTACTAGCGTCACGATAGGGAACGCTTCTGTTGTGGTAATGTGGTAGGGCGCCAGTACAGACTGCTGAAGACCACATTAAGACATTATATTTTGACTTCAACTCAAAATATCGCTCTCCGAAAGTGATAAACAAATTACCGCATACAAATAACAATGTTCAAACAGTAAATTCCAATACTTCACTAGTTATCTTGGGTTCATGGCGAGTTGAAGAGCACAGGTAAATGAGAGGGGAATAGACCGAAGACGGACAAGAAAGCTAGTAACTTGATTTGGCATACGATAACCCCCCGCCATATCAGGCCTCGACTTTCGCAGCTACACTCTGTTGCGTATATTATTTGTGAGCATATCTAGATATATATTGCGGATTTTTCACTGGTTAACAATGGGCCTTTGTGCTTCTGGTATATGCCTCTGGGTTGTAGGGGTGTGCAGCTGTGGGTTCATGTGATGGCAGTAGATCGCTTCACTTGCTTGCGGGCATTGGTCGCGCATACCGCCCATTAACTGGCGACCAACACTCACATGCAGCTCCTCGATGCTAGGATCTGCCTAGCGGCAGCACCCCGATAACCGCCTCGACCGGCGGACCAAACGAGATCGAGGGTATCCCGCGCTGTGTGTCCCTACACCCAGTAACTCAGATTACCTTCCCATGCCTACTCCCTCTCACCATCCACCCTCTCCCTCCATCCCTCCACCTCTGAAGGCCTACGGAGAGGGCGAGGACCACCGCTGGCCGGACGGCCCACCGCCTTATCATCCCCAAGATGAGGCTCAGTCTACAACCGCGTAGGAGGCCACAATGTAAACGACCACTAGGTAAGTTAAATAGCGTTCTTTTGAATACCGTTCTTTTGAATTCTCCAGCTCGACGTCTACATTTCAGCTATCAAATATCTCAGAGAGGGAGAGGGAACTCTGCTTCCCGTCTCTCTACACTTCCCCATCCCCCCTAGAGCCCAATAACTGCAAAAAAATCTTGCGGAAAGGACGACATGGAATCCCGTAGGCGGCTCAGGCTAACTCGGGTCATCCTCCCACCAAACAATGTCGTGGCCTATAATGGAGACCGTTAGCCGTTGGGATGGCACAGCACTGCCTACCTCTTCGCGGAGGAAAGAACTAGAAGAGATCACGTGCTCTGCATGCTGCAAAACATACGGTCGAAAGAACAAAGTAAAAAACAACAATCTCTTCCCCCTTCCCCTCCCCTTGGCTCCAAACCGCAGGATGCTAGGGTGAGTCCGCTCGGTCTGGCAGCCTGGAACGTTCGTTCGCTCTAAGAAAATCCAAGGAGCAACGGACCGGAACGGAGGACGGCGCTAATTGCTCGGGAACTTTCGCACTACAACGTGAACATCAATACACTCAGCAAAACCTACTTCTCCGAACAAGGCTTACTAGAGGTGGGTGCCGGTAACACCTTCTGGAACGGCCATCCAAAAGCAGAGTGATTGGACACCGGCATCGCCCTTACCATCTGGAACGACATCGTGGGACGACTGCCCCGTTTGACACAGGGCATCAGCGACGGACTGATGAGCCTGCGCCTGCCTCTTCGGGGATCCGAAGTCGTCACCGTCATCAGCGCCTATACCCCACCAATGGCCAGCTCTGACGAGGCAAGACAAAATTCTACGACGACCTGCACGCTTTCCCAGCGTCTGTACCAAAGGCTAACAAGCTGGTTATCCTTGGTAATTGCCATGCCAGCGTTGGGACAGACTGAACTGCCTAGAGGGTAGTGCTGGGTCCTCACGGGGTCAATGGCTGTAACGACAATGGTCTCCTTCTCTAGCAGACTTGCGCAGACCAACACCCTCTCCCGACTGCCGAAGTTGAAGAAAACCACCTGGATGCATTCCCGATCGCGGCGCTGGCAGCTGCCGAAATGCTTTCTCATCTGGCGACGCGATCGACAGGAAGTGACAGTGACTAAGGCGATCTGTGACGCCGATGACTGGACGGATCACCGCCTAGTCATCACCAGGATGAGGTCCTGTCTGAAACCCAACAGGAGGCTACAAGGTAAGCGACCACTAGGTAACTTGAACACTGTTTTGCTGAATTTGACTGCTCACCGTTTAGATTTCAGCAATCAGTTAGCTCAGCACCTGGAAGTCCTGCCAGCTCCGGACTTCAACGCCACCGTAGAGACTCGATGGCGCCAACTGCATGACGTCGTCCAGTCGACCGCCCTGGGTGGCTTCGGCTGCGCACGTCGTTAACACCAAGACTGGTTCGACGAAAACGACGCAGCCATCAGCAACCTGCTTGCCAAAAAGAACAGGCTACATAAAGTCTACGTCGACAGCCCGTCCGATGCAAACAAAGCGGCCCTCTACCAATGTCGCCGCCTTGCGCAACAACGTTTTTAAGAAATGCAGGGCGCCTGGATAGCTCGCAAAGCCGAGGAGATCCAAGGATATGCCAACCGCACTCAACGCCACAACCGAAGTCGGGACCTCTTCGCCGCCGAGGTTATCAACTTCGGCCTGCCGATCAACACGGACAAAACGGTGGTCATGCACCAATCGTCAGCGAAAGCTGAATACAACACTCGTCGGATCACTGTCAACGGCAACCAACTCCAGACCGTAAACAATTTCGCCTATCTAGAAAGCACACTCACGCAACACAAACATCGACGACGGGGTTGCCCATCGGTTCTCCTCACGCCTTCGGCCGGCTGCAAGCCTCCGTGTGGAGTCGTCACGGCCTTTAACTGATCACCAAACTGATGATGTACGGGGCCGTTGTCTCGACGACACTCGTGAAGAGCAAGGACTTGGACCGTCTACTCAAGTCATGCCAGGAAACTCAACCACTTCCACCTCCGCTGCCTTGGCAGGCTATTAAAGCTGAGATAGCAAGATAGGATCCCCGACATGAAGTTCTGGAACGGGGCGGAATCCTCAGCATCCACGTCATGCTGGGGCAACTGCAACTACGTTAGAACGGCCATCCCGTGAGAATGGACGGCGTTCGCCTGCCAAAGCAATTCTTCTACTGAGATGTCGCCACGGCTGCTCGCCGACTGGGAGGAACATAACGATGCTGCAAGGACACTGAATAATTATCTGATGCGATTCCATATCAGCCCAGATACCTGGGCAGACGTCGCTCAGAAAAGACCGGCATGGAGTGAGGTGAAGACTGGCGCAGCCGTATACGACGCAAACTGGGCCGCCGCAAAGCCAAAAGGCAGGCTCGTGGGTGACAGGTGCCTCCACTCCTCAATGTCAATAACCAACCGCTTCTAACATGGCCGCGCTGCCAACGCACACTCCGCGAGCGAATCGGCCTCGCAGGACAGCTTCGAAAACGATGAACCAACAACCCGGCAACGTTAACTTCTACTACGAACACCCCTTCTACCATTCCTGCCACAAACCCTGCGACGACGACCACTCACGTTACCGGTGATCAGACTGCCGATTCCCTACCGCTATAGATTTCCGGCATTCTTTGCCCTGTCCCAACCCCTAAATCGGCCACAGCGAACAGCTCCGCCAACACCACGACCTCTCGCACTCGCCCCATCGGTAAGACGACATCCGACGTTCCGTCATCTACTAACATTATCATCAACACCCCCAACGCCAGCGATGTGGACTCGGTCCCGACCTGTCCTAATTGCGATCGCACATTCACCTCACACATCGGCCTGATCGGTCATTTGCAAATCCATCGCACAGAGGCTGGCGAACCAGCGCCTGGGGCACCCACGCACATTCACTCACCTACTCAGTTGCATGCGTATCCACGACGAGCGAATCCACGCCAGTACCGACACACCTAGTACACCTTGCGTATTCATCATGCCGAGCACAATCGACACCTCATCACCCAGCGTACCCGCCACCAGCAGCTCCACCAACATCACCACCGAAACCGCCTCTGACGCTCCTGATATACCCTGCCCACACTGTCCACGCCCATTCACCCCACGCATCGGTCTGATCGGTCACTTGTGAATCGACTGCAAGGGGACTGGCGATCCAGTGCCTGGAGCACCAACATACACCAGACGCCCTCGTTCCAGCTGCCCACATTGCCCCCGCACATTCAGCCACCACATGGGTCTACAAGGCCACATGCGTATTCATGGAGACCTGCGGTAGATCACCGCCTGTCATACCACACCATCATATCTCACCTCACGAGCATCTGTAATGCACACCAACACCACCCATCAGCACACAATGCAAGCACTCCATTGCCACCTCCCATGCAAGTGGTAAGTGTGTTTCCCGGCTCCTTCTCTAAGTGGCTCTTCTGCTGCATGTGTGATCTGAGTCTGGGACTATCACGATGCGCTAAGCGCCGCGACTTGGAAGGCTGCCGACTGACGCCTGAACACAGTCCACGCAGTCTGCTCAGCTGTGTATTTGTGTGGGGTGGCAGACTAGTGGGCTGAGTCAGGCTGCAACGGCTCCCTCTCAGCGTGACCTCTGGCACTCTCATGCATGTGAGGAGTGTGTGTATGGATAGCGCCTCTTAGTCGATGGCTGATTGGTTACCCGGCCTTCGAAGGGTGATGACCTAGGATAAATGCAGGGCTGCGTCTCACCCTTCGGGACTCTAAGGATTGTGTGCGTCTGTTATATCATAACTCAGCAAACCATCGCTCTTGCATCCTGCTGTGCGCTGGCAGTTCTCTGGCACCTGGCTCTGTCGGTAGATAGGCGTGCGCTCTCGCTCAGTATACAGGTAATGTGCGTGATTGCCCAGTGACTTGCGTCAACCTCTCCAGTTTCTGACCCCTTTTGCTGTTGGTTAAAGTCCTGGTCAAGTGTTTGCTGTGGACCAGGGAGTGTGGTGACGCGCCTAGATACGGATAAGGCCGTACCAGTCACTTGAGCCCTCTCCCGCCTCCGGAACTCTTGACACCGAACTTAGGTTGGGGAGGGGAGGACGCGACTGATGCTGCACGAGTCCACTCTTACTATAAAATTAATTTACGCACAAGACACCGTGCCTGTTCTAACCTTGCTGTGAGGCACTCGGTGAACAGCATCGGACGCAAAAGTCGAATTGTCGCATGTATCCTCGGTTATTCTGCCTACCTTATACAATGGACGCTATTGGCTATATTTTCGTTGAAATATGTATTGATATAGTGTGTTTAAAACTATGCGCACTAAATAAAACTCCTTAATGATAGATGATATGTGCATGTGTGTGGTATACAAACAGTTTGTGCATAATCTCAGCGAATTTTATCTAATATCCAGAAGAATACAACGGATTTATGCTGCTTAACTGTGTGAGAAATGCTCATATGAATGTTGGAAGGGTTTACAAGGGTTCGACATATATGATTTTTACTTCCCGGATCTCCACTTTTCGCGGGGTGTTCTGGGACGCAACCCCACGATCAAGGGGCGATCACTGCAGTTGAATTAGCGTCTGGCCGGCGTCAGGCTCTGGATTTTTTCAGTTGGATGAAAACAAATATCTCAACTAAGAGGGCTTCATAGGAGCGTGAAATTGGATCGTGATTACTCGAGAGTATGAAGGGTACCCGGACTCTAAACAGACAGTAGACATGAACGTACTTCTAAGTGTCGCATGCTGTCAGACTTAAAGTAGCAAGGTCGAGAAAGGTCTACGTGTTCCAACATCCATTGCCGTTACACTATCCGTCACGCGTGGACTCGCCGAATAGACGGAAAGTAGTCTAACTAGTCTTCTGTCCCCTATGGTCTGTCGTAGGTAGCAAGCAAATGAATATCCACGGTGGCATTCGACGTTAGAAAAAGTCTGAAGATTCATGCTAAGCATAAGCTGTACTTACACCTAGAACCTGTAGACGCATAATATGCCACTGTTTTGGGTTTTGCGAGCCTGCAAATAATCGAACAGACGGCAGCACACCACACGGATGTTCACCACCAAAAGAACGCCAAGACTTTTCATGGCCGCTGATAGTGTATTCAAAAGAGCACGTCAAAATTTTGAAAAATTTTCCCAATCGGACTTGTTAAGAGCATTTTTTTTAAAAAACAATCACCGGCGCTGACCGGGTCGCTCAGTGAAATAAGGCCGGTCGATCCCCTGGGAAAAACGGCCTCGGCGATCGCTGGGAGAGGGGTAAACATTTGATTGTCTGCAACAAATGCATGAGGTGCGAATACCCGCTCACCTGCGTGGACGCCAGTCCTCAAAAATTGGTGGTGGAGGAACATCCTCAGAGGTGTAGGCGACAAAGTCAGCGTCACGACATGTGTAACGGTCTCGAAATTTCTCTTCAAGATCTGTTTCAGATGATTTCATCTCACGAAGGTGTAAAAATAAAAGGGCTAGTGAGGACAAAGGTTCAAAATATCAGTCTTTTGAAGAGAAGTACAAAAAACGCAAAAAGGAACAGTGAGTAAAAACTCATCGCAGACAGATGCCTGGCGGATACGTTCAGCAAAACGGCAGCCAAAATGGCCTCGAGTACAATCGACCACTTTATCTTCTTCAAGAGATTAACTAGGAAGTGCGTCTGATGTGGGAACGACCATAGTATACGTCGATACGGGAGAGGGGACGAAGGACTGGGCGGCGAGGAAATATCCTCAATGACTTTCCCAGAGAAGGAAAATAGCTGAGAATAAATTGATATGAAAAGCGCGTCTAAAGGTGCACCACATTCCGGAGTCGAGAGGACTAACTGGACAACTCCGCATACTTCTTTAGACGTTTCACATTTGACTGGCAACTTCAAACGTTTAATTATTTTTGGCGATCCCGCCAAGGTGATCTTGGATCCCCAGGAGACGACTTCAAGAAAGTACATAAAATAACTTTGGAATATAGGTCAGGCGTCTGGAAAGTTGGCCGTTATCTTAAAGTCGAGCAAGTTAGATCAACAAATACAATAGACTTGATCGGAAACAGAGAAGACAATTACTGATTGTTATATTTCCCCGTTTTGCTATCAGCACAGTAAAACACGGTGTTGAATTTAAAAAATCTAGACGTAAATAGGCACGGATAAACCTGTAATTGAAAGTCTCTTCTTGCCTGATCGCTCCTCAGCTAACCATTTTACGAGTGCCAATGCACGATCGGGAAAGAGAATTTAGCATAAACTGATAAATGATTGGCAACTAGAAGGACAGATAACGGTGACAAAAACCCAGTCTTCTAAATCGGAAAAATAATAACTGTCTTCCATTAGGATGGCAGTCTCCTCGATTAGAGTTATTACCTAAAGATGCGTACTAGTGAGTGCGATCGTTTTTATCTAATTCTTTCAAGAATTTATTCGGTATATTGTCCGGACCCCAGGCTGTTGTCTCCTTGAGATTCTGTAGCTCTATTTTCCCGACCGACGTCAGAAAGAGTATGAATTCAAGCACGAGACCAACGGCCTCAAAAGCACTGCTGACATCGCGAATCCGAAACCCAGTTTCGGACTGTCAGCTGCCATACTTTCCCATTCTATTGCAGGTGCGTTACAATTCCCAGCTCCAAGAACATCTTGGTGGCCAGCCGCTTCCTTGGTTAAATGGAGGTGTGATTCGGAAGCTGCACTCGGAAGGTTTGGCTGTCTGTAAAGCGTCAGGGATTCTAGGCTTTGGGCATTGTTTTCCTTTATCTTTGTCCCAGAGCATTAATAGTTGAACGAGAGGGTGTGGGCTCGTTCAACTAACGAAATTCCTGTCCTTACATATACATCGGTCATAAAATAAATTTTCAGGACCGGAAAAATCTGTTTATTAAAACTGTCGTGGTGAAATTACCTTTCTTTCAATGAAAAACAAGCCCAGACGCGCAAACGGAGTCTAGGATATGTATTAGCATAGGAAATTTCAGGAATATATTGCAACGTCCATTTTTGCCAAATTTTATTAATATTTTGATTGATGAATTTACGCAAACACAATTTCTGTAAAAGAAAAGGAGATTTCATTGAAGTGGATGAGCAAGCAAAGTGCGCAACGTTAAAGACGTTTAGAACTCCTCACACCAGTTTCTCTTATCAGGTTTCATTAGATAGGTCACGTACTGTATGAAAACTCCACCGACCTGTCTACTTTGAGAGTCTATGAAAAAGAGCTTGTAATCCAGTACCGGGATCCCCGTGTCCGTGATTCCGGCTTTCATCCCCGTTTCCGTGTCAGCAATGATATCCGGGTTTCGTTCTGAAACCAGCGCTTTGTTTCGTCGGTCCTCGGAACGAGACTCTGAGCATTAGTATACAAAATCTCAGTTTGGACTGAGAAAATACAGCATACAGGCGTCTGTCCATTTCCCGGGACTGAATTCTAAAGCCGGTCGGAGCTAATCGAGATGGACTTTTGTCCATCACGCCTAACCTCTTAGAGTTATACGCCTTCTTTAGAGGAATGGACTCTGGGCGAATATAATTTTCCCGTTTAGTGTTCTGAGAATTTTCTCATCCATGTTCGACCTCCTGAGGATTTTCAATTTGAGCCCTCTACATTCCTCATTCCGCGGGTGAACATTCGCCCTGAAAAACTATTGAGAGAGTATTTTGGAGTGCAGATTTCCAGCTTAAAAGTAACTGCGTTTCTTCCTTATTCTGAAAGACCATTTTTAACTCTCTCAGTTCGTCTTACTCACGTTTTGAATCTTTTATTCGGCCCATCCTGAAAGCCTTCAATGCTGGGACTTTTTCGTCTTCTCTTAAGTGCGATTTAAGATATAGCTAGAATATATTTGTGTCTTTATGTATTCTCTCCTGTGGAGGACATAGGTCAGTAGGTCAGCATAATTTAAGGTTAATAGGCAATGCCTTTGAAAACCCTATTGAGAACGGTACATGCAGTATCTAACTAAAATGTTGTCTGAATATTTTCCTTTGAAAATGCAGGACTGAAACTCGAGAACATTCATTTGTAGATGATAACGATAGAATGAAATGACAATTGTCCGCATTAGCGGTAGGTGTATCCAAGGCGTTGGTCTGGCACAACAGAGCTATTCTGTCCAGACAAGCGGTATTTCCCAAGTAAATATACATACAGTCTTTGCTTAAATGTCTCCATGGAATCTGCCATTATCACGTACTCGGAAAGCCCGTTTCAGGCACCGACGACTCGCTGCGAAAAAGAGTATCTGCTAACCTCCAGGCGGCATCGGGATCCTTTAAGTTCTAAAGAGTTCCCACGCAGGCTTGTTGTTGCGCCCTGGGTAAGGAACTCTTCGAGGTTTAGGAGCTTTGATGCGACCCCGACGCGTCTTTATTAAAAATTATTTATTTATTTAGGACACAGTCCCGGTTCCTCAAAATCCTATACGCCTGTATGAGATCTCCTCAAATCTGCCTGTACTCAAGAGAAAATAGTTCAAGTTCACTAAGTCTGCAGTTGTAAGGTAAAGTCTTGAGGCCTTTCACAATTTTGGTTGATCTCCTCTGAACTCTTTCTAGCAACTCATAGTCTTTTTAGCCACGGGCGTCATGCTTGAATTCCATATTCCATATGCGATCGAATGAACACTCCGTATAATTTTTCAAATACACTTTGTCTTTATCTATGAAAGTTCGTTTAATTACAAAGAAAACACTGCTTGTCCTTTTGGCCGCCCTAACGCATTGAGAGGAAGGCTTAAGGGTCGACAAAATTTCGATCTCAAGATCTTTTTGTTCAGGCATAAATGGTGATCCTCTCCATCGGCTTTTCCAGTCGTTTTGAGTCGCAGCGTGACGCACTTCTCAAGATTAAACTTCAGCAGCCATTTGTCCGACCATTCGCATAGGCGGTTCAGTCCTTCTTGCAGGGCCCGTTCATCATTTTCTCCGTTGATTGCTCGCCATAACTTGATGTCATCGGCAAACATGACTTCATTGCAGTCAATTCCATTCATATGGTCGTTGGCATAGACTGAAAACAGTACTGGTCCGAGTACAGAGCCCAGGGAAAATCCACTCACAGCTGGTACTCGCGTTGACTTCGCACAACCAATACACACAGATTGTGATCGACCAGTCAGAGAGTCCTTTACCCAGTTCAATAGGTTCCCCTTCTCCCTGACTCTCAGACCTTGTAAACTAACCGATGGTGTGGAACACTATCAAAGGCTTTCTTGAAATCGATGTAAACGATATCGACCCATGTTCCTTCGTCTAACGAGCGAGACCACTGTTCCGTTGAATAAAGCATATTAGTTAGGCAGGAGGGATTCCGTCGAAAGCCATGTTGGGAACTAGCAAAGAAATTATTTTTTCCAAGGAACTTTACAATAGTTTATTTGACTATTCTCGCCATAACTTCGCAGCAAATGAACGTTAGGCTCACCAGCCGATAATTGTTTGTATTTGTTCGAGATCCGCCCTTGTGAATGGGGTATATATTTGCCACTTTCGAATCAGAGGGGAGAATGCCTCGGCCAAAGTACGACTTGGAGATATAAAAAAGCGGCCTTGCGACTTCGCAAGCCTACTCCTTGAGAACTTTTGCCGGTATTTTGGTTTGGACCCGGAGACTTACCCACCTCAGGCGCTAGAATTCCCTTCCTCACATCTTCTTTTGTGAAGTTGATGTTTTCTATTATTTCGTCGGTTGTCCCAGCAGGCAATCCAGCCTCGTCAGAGTCCGTTTCCTCGGTGAAAACAGACACGAACAACCGGCTTAGATGTTCTGCCCTAGCGTCATTTTCGATGATATCCTCACTGTTTTCTCCTTTCGACACTAAGACCGTCTCCTTGTTCTTTAACCAATTGTTGATGTAACTGAAGACCACTTTTAACTTATCAACGGCCCGTTCCATAACTCGCGTTTCATACTCCTTCCGCGACCTGTGGTTAGCGGACCTTACCTCGTTTCGCTTTCGACAAAACTGCTTGTAATGACATGGTCACTCGTAGCTGGCGATGTTATGGAGCTAAGTTCGCCAGCATTCATTGGGTCTTTTGTAGGGACGAGGTCCAGACAATTTACTCTTTGGTCCTCTCTGATCCTGGTTGGGAACGTGGAATTTTGTATCAGAAAGAGATTAGCCGTTAACTTCGAGAGCATGAAGTCAAAGAAAGTTCGCGAACCACTTACTGCTAAATTGTTCCAATCCAGCATGGGTGCGTTTAAGTCTCCGGTTATCAGTACCTCTTTGTTTTGTGACACCTCTTCAATTAACCTAAAAAACGCCTCCTCAACTTCAGGAGTTTGATTGGGCGGCTTGTATACGGTCAGGAAATTCAGAGAAGGTGAGTCAGGCATCCTCAGGTTTAACCACAGTAATTCGCAGTTGCGGGAGCAATTGGTCTTGTGTTCTGACTCGATGATTCCTCTCTTAACGTAGACCGTTATTCCCCCTCCTTTTTTATGCAGTCCGTCCCGGTGAAAAAGTTTGCATCCATCAAGTGTAATTTCGGCATCCAAGACTTCGGTCTGGAACCAAGTCTCTGTAATAGAAATGATATCCGGCTGCTATCTGATATCCACACTTTCAGCTCATCTAGCTTCTGGAACAAACTCTGGGCATTTACATAAAGAAAGCGGAGCTTAGACGGGCAGATTCCCGAAGGATTTTTGGGTCGAAGTTGTTAGATATATCGGACGACTTTTTGTGTCCATCGTCCCCTTTCGAGTCTACTCCTGCTTAATTAAACTGGATGTCAGTGTGTTGGCCGTCGCTTCCTACGATCGGTTCGGCGGATAGGAACGTTCATTTCCTTATTATCTCGTTGTTCATAATGCCCATTGTTATTGGTTGTCTTCAGGGGAATGAGCTCCGAACATTACGATTTTTCGATTCAATATTCTTCGATTTTTCTCGCCGGAAGTGTACCTTCTGAGGAATTCGGCCTTGAGTTCCCTCCATTTCTCCCGTTCGGCCGGTGAGAAATCCCGCAGAAAAAATTGTTGGGTGGGCACACTGCAGTGCTGGTTTCCTGTTCAGTAGTAGTAGAGTTTGTTCCACGTTTTCGAAAATAATTTTTAATGGTCTTTGATGGCTCGACTCGCCCTTCGAATCCTTAATTGATCCAATTCTGAAAGCTTTCAAGACGGTGATGTTCTCGTTCTCTCGTAATAGGGATTTGAGGTATTGCTGGAATTATTCTATTTAGTGGTTTACTCTGTCCTTTGGGATGTCTGAAGAAGACACAGGCATGCTCTATACGATGGTACATTTATTGCGATCGATAGGGTGCTGTCGTTTATTTTTATACGCAGAGTCTGCATGGCGAAAATTTTTGTCGTCATCATTGTCCACTTCAGAGACAGTTGTCGTGGTAAAGCTACCACAGGGTTCCTTGTTTATCGAGGCTTCTTGGTCATATGGTATCTCTTTTGGCAATGGAAAGACTTCTTAAGAGGTTTTTAGTGACGTGTCCGAAACAGAGTAACCTATCGTGTGCTGTACGGCACGAGTTTATTTGTGGCCACTTATGTCTTACGAATAGTCTTTACTCTCAATAAAAATGCACAACAGTTGATGTCATCTTCTCCGACCCTAAGAAATTGTTTGATAGCGGGCCTCAACTACGACCGCTGCAGAGGATTTGGAAGGTTAGAATCCACAGCAGCTTTCTGCGTAGATTAAGAGTTCCTTGCTATATAGGTTCTAAGAGGTAACCGCTGATACCGCAGCATCCGTGTAGGTGCCAATAGAAGGCAGTGTCTTACAGAATTCGGCCTTAAGTTCTCTCCTTTCCCTCATCTCAAAGGTCAGGCACAGTATATAAACGGTTTTGCTGAAGGCCTTTACTGCGGTGTCATTATGTTTACACATCTGGAAAACAATAAGTAATGCTGACGAAGGGTGGAAGCTGAAAGCAGACGTTGCTAGACTGGTCGCATGGTCCACCATGTGGTTGCTAACGCTAAACGTACCCAAATGTGTAGTTTCTCGCTCAGAATCTGATCGAAGACCATACCAATAGCACCAGTACTGTGTAAATGGTGTTCCATTAAAAAGAAGCGATACACATGGAAACCTTGATATCTGGAAAAATTCAAACTCGCAGTCCTCCAAACGCTGTAAAAAACCACCCAGATGACAAAGAGCATCATACACTGGATTGAGTTGCTTTATTAGTCATTCCCCGCGAACTCTTCGTATCTATCTTTGGTAGGTTAGTTAGATTCCATTCGGAATGCGAAATTAAAGCGTGCATGCCGCGAATGAAGAAAGACAGTAACCACATCGGGCAGATAAAAAGACAGGCGAAGTAACTGATGGACGGTCTTAAGGCTCTGTCTTAAAACCGAGAAAGGCTGGTTAAGGTCAATTTGTTCCCCTATCCTTTGGACAAATAAGACGAAACCCTCTGCGGGCATCCTGCATTATCAGTGAACAGAATTTTTCGCGTAAACCCGAAGATCTCTTGGGGTTTTCAAGTATGATTTAGTTGCGCGCCCATCCGCACAGGTTCAAACACGAATCTGCGTGCCTAGATCGACGGAAGTGTTTTTTCTGTCAGCACCTCGATTGTGGTGCTCATATTCAAACGAATGGTGACCTCCGCTATCATGGATGTGCTCAAAAGACAGTTGGGTCGTTTGGATTTTGATTGCTAGCGACACTCACTCTAGGGCTATCTACAGTCAGCCATGAACATAATTTACTGATTTCCTTGCGTGTGTTGCATTATAGCAGGTTCGATGTAAACTGTTTCCGCAAAATTTACAAATGACTTCGTTTTCTGTTGACTGCATAGAATTGCGTTTATAATCTCAAGCGTGCACCGAGAGTGTCATCGTCGGCTCTGCCCGTAACGCTAAAAATTAAGCACAATTTAGTATATATATAACGGTGATGGGCAGAATCGTAGAAAGCCCTTTTTACGGATAGACGGATGAAAAGCATTCATATATTTGCAAATAAATAAAATAATAAACGAGCAAAATAATTTTATCAAAGGCCAATCGACGTCCCAGCAAATCAAGTAAAAGTAAATTTTCACATGAATTGTAGACAGAATCTGTACAAAATCCAATTCATAGCTTATGAATATTTGGTCCGTTAAGAAAAACGATGAGCGAGCGTTGAAAAAACTCCACTCTAGAGTTAAAAAGTTATTGGACAAACTTTGCAGGGAAAAAACTGTCGCTCATGAAAGGATAGAAATGCGAGTAGGACTGGCCTACATGCTGCGGTGCATAACGGATTATAAACAGATATCGTTAGGACAGAAATAAATGTCAGCCACGATGGGTAAGTATACAGGACAGGCAGGACTGGCCTGCATGTGGTATTGTATAAAGGATTCAATTCAATTCAATTCAATTATTTTTATTAAAGACCCGTCGGGGTCCCATCAAAGCAAGTAAAAATAAATTTACATGCGAATTTTAGACGAGGTAGGCAAAATCTGTACAAACTGCAATACATAGTTTTTGAGATTAGAAGACCGTTAAGCAAAATAAAAATGAAAAAATGAAAAAACGAGGGGTGAAAAAAAAACTCCAAAGCAAAATTTAAAAATGATTGTAGTAATTTAACAGGAGAAAAAAAATCTCCTCAGAAAAATAGCATCAGAAAAAAACAGGGAGGACTGGCCTGCATGTGGCGGTACAGAATGGAATATAGTCCGACATCAACATGGCCGAAATAAATGTCAGCTGTATATGGCATTGTGTAACGGATTTCATAAAATGGTACGTAGGCGGGTCGGTCAGGACTGGCCTGTATCGCCTTGAATAAGAAAAATAAGTGGCGAAATTGAAAACCAGTCTCGAGCTGATAGGAACCCAGATGCGGTCGGTTTCATTCAACCGAATCCATCCGAACATGGGGGAAGGGAGATGCGACCAGACTACTAGTATATGGCGAATATAGAAGACTTTGTCAAGACCGCCGATGGAGCGCATTCTGTAAGGGCACGATGACAACCAGTCTCGAGGCGACAAGACCCCAGATGCGGTCTGTTACATTCATCAGAGTCCATCCGAGGATAGGGCAAAGGAGATGCGATCAGATTACTAGTATATGGCCAATATAGAAGGCTTCGCCAAGAGCGTCAATGGAGCGCATTCAGTGAGGGCACGATGCATGAACTGAAAAATTGGATATTGTCAGAGCAGAATTCATACACTGGATGAGACTATTCGCGTCAAAGTGGCGAGGCGAGTGGAACCCAAACGCGATCGGCCACAGTAGGATTCGACCCCAGTCGAGGAGGATGCAGGGGAGATACGACCAAACTAATAATGGAGAGTGAGTACAGATGGTTCTGCCGTGAGCGTCGACGGACTGCTTGAGGTCGAAATGAGGAGATGACATAAAGAACCGCGAAAATCGTCGCTATGGGGGAGGAGTGATAGCAGTGGATTTAGCAACCAATTCAAAACAGGTGTTTATAATGATATAATTGAGGGCTGCCACTTTATCTACCGCAAAATCCCAGGAGGACCTTTCTCGAAGTCAGCAAGTTGAGTGTTCGGGAATGAGACCGTTAAAAGTGCCTTTATGCTTTCCGGTGTAAGGTGCTTGCGTAATTTCGACATGAATACCGACAACTTAGGCAATAACTTAATTATTTCTAAGGAAGGCATATTTGGAAGCAAACAGGAGGGAACGCTAAGATTTAGTGCAAAGGGGCGGTGGAATCACCATGGAGGAATTGCGCCTGGCATAAGACGAATCTCTCGGAGTGAGATTGTCAATGCGCGGAAGATTGGAGCTAGAGTTAATGAGAAAAAGGAAACAAAAGCCAACTTCGAGCTTTCTAATCCACAATAACTTAATGTTTGCCAGCTGGCAGTTCTGAGTATAAGAAGTACCGGATGCGAAATGAGGGAACAGTTTTCCGGATGAAAACTCTCCCA